GGGGAGGGGAGGGGGAGGGGAGGGGAGGAGAAGAGGGCGAGGAGTGCTCCATCCAGACCGCTGTCCACTGCGCTGCTCAGACACTGACAGCCCTCTCCTCTGCCCCATTTCACCCATGGTCCAAACAGACCCTATTTCCTGGTGCTCCCATCAGGAGGTGCGTCTCCCAGATGGGCCACCGCCACCCTGCCATCTCATGCTGGGGCACTCCCGGGACCTCCACAGCCTCCGAAAGAGCCTGTTCTAAAAGGCAGCCCAAACTGATTTAAAGACAACAATACGCAGTGGACCAACCACTGGTGAATTCCTACCGTCTTGTCTAGTGAAACTATATCATCGCTGATGTTTTATTTAATCTTTTTTTTTATTCTCTTTAATGGTGTGAACAATCTTCCATTCTCACATCTGCTAATCTGAGCAACGTAGTTGAAGATAACAATATGTAATATAACAACCACTGTTAATGCCTATCATTTTGTTTTGAAACCCTGTATCACTTTTAATGTGCTTGCTTTGTTTTGTTTATGTTTGCGATGTTGGTATGCTGTTATTTTTTTTAACTACTCTCTTTAAAATAAATAAATAAATAAATAAATAAATAAAAAATAAAAGGGGGCCCAATATACCGCGCTCAGTGCCAGGCAGGGCCTGGGCAGGGCCCACATGGGTTAAAATCCTGCTTGCTGCTTTTGAAAAGGAGGGTCTGACTCACATGTGTCTTTTCTCTGTGAGAAGAAGAGGTTCCGGCTTCCTCTGTGACACAGTTAGTTGGGTTATTCACATCCTGGGGCAGCATTAGGGAGGCTGAGTCAAGCAGCTGCCAGTTACGTACCCAGGCCAGACGCCTGCCCTGAGAGCTTGGGGTAGGTGGAGGTGACTCCTAATCAAGGGACTTCCGAACACATCCTAACCCTACAGAGTCGCGTATTTGGAACGACCTGCTGAGAGACGGGCTCTGTGACCCATAATTCTACCCCTGGAAACATACGACCACAAAGGTCCACTGTCCACGGGAGGAAAAGGTGCCCAAGGAGGTTCGGCAAAACCTAAAACAACCTAAAGGTTCATTTGGAGAAGAAGGCTCCCTCCTAGGCAGGCGCGGACACAGCACAGTCTCCCTGCAGTCCTCTCCAAAGCCAGCGCTGCTGAGAGACGGCTGCTGTCCCGAGCCTGTCTGCAAAGCGTGTGCGTCTGCTCCCCCGCACGGAGGCAGAAGGGCGCGCACTGAAAACTCAGCAACAGGTGCTTCTTCCTTGCGCTTATCCGCCTGCACTGTGTTTTCCACACAACTTTAAAAAATCATACTACTTTTACTTTACAATAACACTGCTCAAAAAGGACTTCTGCAGGAGCTTCCCCTACCTCCGAGAAGGATCAGGACTCCACTCCCAGACCCCCGGTCCTGGGAACCCGTGCACAGGGCTTCTGACACCTGTGGGCTGTTAGGGTCAAACCAAGGGGAGGCCGAGAAAGGCCCTGCCTTATCCAGTGCCTGCTTCCAGGGAAAAGGACGCTTCCGGGTCCTTGCCAGTGGGTGACAGGTAGCTGAGAGCGCAATTATGCGGGACTGACCTTGGTGCTCTTTGCAAGGGCCCTGAAGGGATTCCTCTCCTGAGGACCACAGCAGTAGTAACAGTGTTCGTGTAACAACAGTGCTGATACAGTAGCTGTTGCCCTTGTTGCTATTATTTCAACAGCATAATAACTACTACCTACTGCTCGCCTGCTATGTATGGGCCAGACACCACCCTGGGGCATTTTACGGTTTTTCTCTCAGTTATCAAATGACACTGAGATGTCAGTGCTTCAATCAGGAAACTGAGGCCCAAGGGCTTGAAGGGCTGACACCGCAGGTGCTGGGTAGAGAATGCTGTATAACCTCTTGCTGTTGACGGGTTTCTGGAAAACCCTGACAGGCACAGTACATCGCCTGCTCTTCGTCCTTCTCCACCCTGCGGAGCTGTAACTCCTGCTCCAGGGCGCAGTGGTATTCTCACTCTGAGAACACTGCACACAACACAGGGACGGGCTTCCGTGCCCCTGACCTGGAGCCGGCAGTGTTTTCCACACATCACGTGGCTCGAGACACACCAGAAGCCAGAAGGCAGGAGTCACCGCCAAAGCTCGCAGGTCAGTTCAACGGGAAGAAAGCGGAGAGAGGTAATAGCCGCAGAAAGCCCTTCGAGGCGCCAACAGGAAGGTGAGAGAAAAGATCATTCTTGCTTCTTAAAGAACTCAGGACACAATAACTGTGACATGGCAGTATTCAATTCAACGTGTGCCACCAGACAGGCAACAACCAGCTGCAACAGGGGCTCGAAAGTGTGAGAAATGACAAGCACTCGGGCCAAACTGGACAACAGAAAACCCACAGTGCTTGAACCTGTTTGATAGTAAAGACCGCGTGTCCCTGCCGCAGAGCGCTTCGCCTCCTCCATGGTCAACGCCCAAACCCAAGGGCCCAGCCACCCGAGGTCCTTGCACCACCCCTGGCACTTGGGCCCTGTGCCTTGTGCCTTTCTTTACGGGGCACAGCCACGTTCCCGCTCCATCCTCACCCAGGACACTCTAGGTCTGCCGACAGGGCAGTGACCACAGGCCTGAGCCAGTCACCACGGCAACCCCGGTTTACGGGACGGCTCATGATCCCAGTTCTGCATTCACTAAAAAACGCTCAGACAAATGAGGTGGAGCTGTCTCAGCAGCCACTCGGCTGACCCACTGGGGTGAGGATGCCGCCCAGCTCCTCTGCACAGTGCCCTGACCGCTGTCCACAAAACGCGGGCCATCCGTGGCCACCAGGCTCCACTCCCACAGAGTGCCCCACTGCGCGAGCCACATGGCCGTGAGCCGGCTCTGCTCTCAGAACACCTGTTCCCATAACTGACTATGGTGCAAAGGGGAGTGAAAGCCTCTCTGAGATGCTTAGGACAGCGGGGCTCTGGACAGGTGACCTGTACGAGCCGTGCTCTGCGCTAGGAGCCCACCGAGCACGGGGCTCCTGAGTGGCTACAACTATCACCACGGGGACTGCTGGACGCCTGACCCCACGCCAGGGCCCCAGTGGAGACGGGCAAATGAGGCCCAGCCTGCCTCCCCGCTCACGTCGGATGAGCCACACTGCAGGAAGATACAGAGCAGTGCTGGCCACCTCGTGCACCCCAGCTCGGAGTGGAGTCCGGCTTCCCAGAGCGAGCCGTGGAAATGCTGAACGGGATGGGAAGAAGTGTGTGCACGCATCTCCCGATGGGGGAAACGAAACCCTAGACAAGTGTTACAGGCATAAAATCAACAAGCTGCACATCCCAGGAGGGGACACATTCTTCTCTTGTTTTAAAAAAAAGAATGCTTAGCCAACAAGCACTCCATCGGTGACTCCCCAAGCTTCAGACTGAGTAATTCAGAGTTAAAACTCAGAAAACAGCTCACGCCCTCAGGGTCTACCACTGTATTTTGCTAGCCAAATCCCCAGGTTTTTAGGTTATTTTTTGGTTTGGTTTTGCTTTTTTCTTAACCTGCCGTAAGAACCCATTTCCAAGGACCTGTAGCTCCAGCGCTTTGCAAGGAAAGATAGGCTTCCTGAAGGGGGAAGAGGATCCCAGTGACTTCCGGGCCTGGAAACTCAGTGGGAGCCCGGGGCCACTGAGGCCTCTGATCTCCAGAACTGGCTTCTGTCACATGCCCCCGCTGCACACACCCTCAGGCTGCCACGCCCGGGGGGTGGATGGGGTCGGTCCACTCACCAGCCAGGGCTGAGGGATCTCCGGCAGGGGCATCTGAGGCGGCGCCGGCAGGCTGTTGGTCTCTGGCCTCTGAGCATGGTCCTTCACATCAAAACCTGCAAATGGTGACCAGAACCAAAGTTCCAGGTAAGGGGCAGAGCAGACCACTGCCGGCTGACCTCTCCGCCCCCACCGGCCACGCGGTGAACACGGATGCTCTTAGAACCTCTACCCACATCCGCAAGGAGGCATCAGTGTTCTCCGGGGAAGAGAGGAACCTATGGCAGGGAAGGGAAGGAAGGAAGGGGGAGGAGGAAGGGGAGAGG